AGTTTTTTTGCTCCTGGGCATGCTGTTTAAACATGTGCCCAGAAACAAATAACTATGGAGCAATTTGGTCAGGAGTTTATTCATGTGTAGCACATGGAACCTTGTCAGAGCAACTCCAGCTGGCATGGAGCCCTGGGGCTGCCAGCACAGGGCTGCTCCAATCAGGCACAATGTGCTGCAGGGTGGCTGGCTGGGACATGAGGGTGCTTCAGCATGGAGCTAGCCAGTAGGCAGACCCTGCACTGAAGTCCCCTTGTGCTTCTGCCAGTTGGTCAGTTTCTATATCTGCACTACTGTGTATGAAATAACTCTGCAGCAGGGTAATACTTGTATTTGAATATAGGAATTACACCATAGTTGCCAATAACCATATTCCAAGCACTAACTATTTTATGCTGATAATGCAAGCAGACAAAACCATCTGCAGTAGGCAGATAAAACCATCCACAATATGTTACATGTATCTTTCTAAGGAGATTACCTCATCCCCTCCAAAATGAATCAAATTAACTGGTAATAAAGGTTTGCACTGTTTTTTTTTCTACTAAATATTCCACAACCTGTTTGTTTAAAGCTGAACTGCATTATTCAGGTGGTTCGATATCACAACCAACATTGATACCTTACTTTGGAATCAACTTTCATGTTTCTCTGTAGGCTCCAGGCTGAGACCAAAGCCTGCTTTCCTGCTGAAGAAAAGAGGCATCTAGCCTGTTTTAGCCACACTGTTGTACTTCAACAACAGTGTCTTTCTTTTGGTGATGCTGCACAATAGGTTTTTTTCATTGCTTTCAAGGAGGTCAGCTTCCTTCTTCCATTCTTGGTCATATTGGCCTGTGAGTCAGCCAGCGACAGTGGACAGAATGCATGCTTTTTATTAGTGCATAATTTATTTCAAGGGTTGCATGATATTTAAGATGTTTATGGCTTTGCTTCTAAAAGCAGCACAGCCCTGAAGCCTTGCTGATGTGTGGTCACTTGCTGACCAATGCACTGCAGACCCTTTTCAGGAGAACCTTTAGTTAAGCTAGGACTTTTGAAAGATGTGGTATGAGCTTGGATAAAAATCTTATTATCCTTGACACCTTCACTTCTACCTAATTCTTGAGTGGGATCACTTTTTCAGCAGAGAGCCTGTGATCAAGGTCCTTGATTTTAGTGGCTATATTGATTCATTTATCCAGATTTAAATTGACCTATTTTCTCAAGAGCTTGGGAGCATGGTGTGAACATTATTATCACGTCCTTTGCAGCTAGCTAAACAAAATTGTGTCCAGAATTATAAAAATCAAATATATAAAAAATCAAACAAAAACAGAATTTGCTAGGATTCCAACTTTATGGCATAAACTAATGTGGAGCTGAGAGCAGATAAGAGCAGATTAGCTCATTATCTGTGATTGTAGTAGTCTTCCTGCTTCTGAAGCTGTTGAAGACATGGGACTGAATGAGATGGCCCTCAGCTGTGAACCCTTATGATGGCTCCTACATTCCTGGTTGCAGCAGCCAAGACTATGTGTCATAAAGAGAGGTGGAAAAAACTGGGTTCAATTTTTTGAAATACAGTTTTACTGTAATCTGTACCAAAACCAGCAAATTTGGAAATTACCCATGAACTGCAACTGTCGATAATTCATATTGGAGAGGCTAAAACAGGATTGTTTCTGTGAAACTGGGTTCCCAGACTGCATCTGCCCCATTGAATTGTCATTGTCAGCTTTGCTACTAATAGCCCTGATGAAGCTGAAAAGAAGCTCCGTTTCCCTGAGCAGCAATCGGCACACAGGGCTCCCTGGCATCAGGCCATGCAGATACCTTTTAACCATACACCCTGTGAGCCTGTCAGAGGCCTTCTAGCCTTGAAGTGTTTACTGCAGACTGCCTAGGGCAAGGCATGAGTTTTCAGGGCATCTGGCTCTGGATTAGACATGCCAGGTAAATTGCTTCTTGAGTTGTGGGCCTACAGTTCGTAGGATCTGTGGCTCTGGGGCAGTCATTCAGGCAGAAGAGTTCCAGTTAGAATCCATGCCGTGGATTCCACCAAAGCCCATATAACCCAGACTGGTTTGAATGCAACATCTCCCCTGTGGTGAACTGGTGTCTGCCTACAAATCATTGTTTGGACAAGTCCCATCCCATCCAGCTCTAGCTGCTGGTAAAGGTGTGCAAGAAATGGCTTTCCTGCTTCTGTCTCACATCAGGCTTCAAACAAGACATTTTGAAGATTTGCATGAAGAAAGCATGCTTTCACCCTGAATAACTAAGATCCTGGAAGTTAGGATGCTCACCCAGGGTGCTCACTCACAGTTCATGTCTTTGGTCTGAACTAGACAGAGCAGAGCTTTGCAACAGTCTTCCACAGTCAAGAGTGCTGTAGCTACTGATTACATGAAGTACTTCTCCCTTTCTGACTGGAGGTTTCATTCTGGATTTGAGAAACCTTTCCCAGTGAGAGGTATATTGTTACATTCCCACAAAAAGGTTTGTGTGTAACAAATCAGTGCTTTCTGACCAAAAGTCATTCCTGACCATCTGTAGTCACCAGCCTCTTCACGGGCCACATACATGTGAAATGCAAAGGGCACCAAAGATCTAGTGTTAGCCCTGAAGATTGTTCCTGTTATTTAAATAATTATTCTTATGCCTGTAGTTAGAATTGGATTGGGGCATAAAGAAGTTTATTTCATACTTGCACATTGTGCTGTATGGTTAGATTATTCTAGGAGTGACCTTTTTACCTCTCAATCCCATATAGAGAGACATGAAAAATCATAGCATCTTGTGTGAAAATTTCAGTAATGTGTGCACACTATATTGATTGACAGGTACTATTATTTTGGTGAGGATTTGTATACCGTGCGCACAATTAAGTGCAGTGTGAAGAGCTGAGAGGGCTGTGTGCTAGGGCTGTGCGAAGCTTCAGTAGCTGACTCAATTCAGGGACCAAGTCTCCAAATCTGAATCGAATCCAGAGGCCAGGTGAAACCTCTGAATTGATTCAAAGCATCCAAATAGATTAGGAAAAGATTCAGCCAATTTGGAGATTCAGCCATAGATTAAACAGGCAGCTGACAAGCCTGTTGGGGTTGGGGGAGGAAAGAGGTGTGGGAAAGGGAGGGATTGGGGCTGGGGCTGGGACAAGGTGCCCAGCCAAGGCAGGGGAGTGCGTTACTCAGGGAGGGGGTTGGGGGGGGATGCCCACTGGGACAGGGGAGTGGGATGTAGGCATGGCTCACTCTGGGTGGAGAGGGACAAGCGGTAGCAGGGCACACCTCCCGTTCCCAGCGCTGTCGTGCCTGCATCCGGCTGCCAAGTGGTGGCAGGGCAGAGTGCCGGGAGGCTGGTGCTCGGTGGGTCAGTCATTGGGGTGGGGCTGGGTGGTGGGGGAGGGTCAGGGTGCTCTGAGCCCCCACAGCCAGTGCTACTGCTGGTGAGTGTGGGTTTTGTTTGTTTTTTTAATTCCCAGACTACTGGGGCCGGGTGGGGGGGGCATCAGGGGCAGAGCCATGTGGGGGCGCAATTGAGGAGTGGGGGCTGTATGGGAGTCCGAATCTCTGAATTGAACCACTGTCCTCTAAATCGGCGGAATCCGAATGGAATATTTCCATATTCACATAGGCCTGCTGCATGCACTCTGAGCATGTAACAGTTGGGGGAGGAACTTGGGGTTGTTTTCTCTGCCTTTTTCTCTGGTGGTTGGTTGGTTGGCTGCTGGGTTGTGTAGTTGCTGCTTGCTTGCTACTATTGAAAGAGTTTGTTGGTCTCCAGTCCTCCTGATGCTTCTGGACTGCTGTTGATGGTTCCAAAGCTGTTCATGGATTTTCTCAGCTTTGCTCTCACATATTAGGATCAGTAATTTATAACCTTGTATGTATTTAGTTCCCCTTATGTTCCTTGTGTTAGTGTGTTGTATGTAATTATTGTATATAATTATTGTCTTATAATAAACCATTTTGTTTGTTTCACTTTAATTTTGCTATACTAGTGTGTTAATCCCTATATTCAGTCTGGGCCGCCTAACTCAGTAATAGCTGAGTCAGCCTGGCCCACTCATGCCTCCTTCCACCCATTATAACCTATTTAACTGAGGCCGCCTTTCAGTGCTTGTGTAATTTCCTCTGGCTTCACCAGCAAGTCTGTATCTCCCTTCATGGGTGTTAAGTGTACTTTCGATGTTACTTGCTTCCATTTCTGTGAGAGCTGCCCTCTTAGTTGACACATTAGGAATGGAACCGGAACTTCAAAGCAAATAGTACAAACTGTTGCAGCTTGAATTGCAGCTGGCAGCTGTAATGCCTCATCCCCTCTGTGGACTGGCAGAGAGGAGACATGTCACACACACTCACACATGGGTGAAGATAAGGTTTTCTCTATCAGCATTCAGATCTAGTATCCAGGGAGTAAAATTTGTTGCCTTCACTATGGTTGTAAATTTACTGAAGTCAAAATCAAGTCACTGAGTTTATGAAGAATAAGACCCCTTCCTCAGGCATGTTCAGGCAACTTTGGAACAAGACCCTAAATTTGGTATAGCCGGGCATGGCAGGATCAACTGAGTATATGGGGCATATGAGGTGGGGCAGAGCTTGAGTAACAGGCCCTCCATCCTTCCCTCCCACTTACTCCTAATCTATTATTCATTTTACTTTAGAGGAGATTAACAGAGGGTTGGCTCAGGAACTTTCTGTTTTTCCAGACTTGCACAACACCAGACACAGCACACGAGGTCTTGGCTATTTGAACTGCAGGGGAAAAATATTCTCTTTTTGCTGTGGTGTGACCTAATGCACATTTCTGCCTTCCTTTATTCCAATAGGGTCAGCCCAAGAATGAAATAAACTTGCTGAGTAATAGTTTGGTACGCTCAGACCTTCAAGTGAGCTGTTTTCATTATCCCCTCAGTCTTGGCTGCAGCTCCACTTTTATTCCACACAGCACAGGATGTCATGACATCAGTTCTGGAATTTCCTCTCATCTCCCTTTTTTTCTTCTGGTAATCATATAAAAAGGCAAGGAAAAGCTAGTTGTTCAGTGTCAATCCAAGTTTGCAATACTCCCTGGTCCAGTTGTGATCATCTGCATCTGATAGCAACATGAAAGTCTGTGTGCCTGTTGTCATGATCCTTCTCATCTCTGCCTTCTTCTCCCAGGCCTCCTCTGCTCCAGGTGAGTTCAGCATATACGTTTTTGAAGGTACCACTAATATAGTCCACCAATAGACTCTTTACCCACTCATGCACTGAACTTTGTTCTCATGTCAGGAAATAGGGATTTCATTTGTGCCTAGAGTAGAGGTCTCCAACAGCCATGGTGAGCAATTTTGAAGCTCAACCAGCCTGCCCCCAAAACTCTATTTCACGCTCCCTCCTTGCAGTTATCTATCTGTCTGTCAATGTATTCTGAGGCCCAAGAGCACTACAGTTATTTCTGGTTGTAGTTCTTTGCTTTCTGAATAAAGGATATAGAAGAAGAGGGAGGAATTATCACATGGGGAAACTCTCCCTTGAAGTCTTGTGGCCAAGAACAGAAGCTGCTTCCCACTCCAGCCAAACTGCCCAAGCAGATGCATCCCAGTGCTACTTCTCCTTGGGGTATAGTTCAGCATGGGATCATGTTGTCTTTTCCATCTATTCTAGTGGGTTCTGACATGCCAACCTCCTGCTGCTTCTCCTATACAAGTCGCAAGCCCCCACGTAACTTAGTGGTGAAGTATTACAGTACCAACAACAAGTGCTCCTGGCAAGCTGTCGTGTAAGTACAAACTTCTGGCTCCTGACAAATAACAAAGGTGCAGGGTCATCTTTCCTTCCAGTGCATGCACTGGAATATATGAATGGACGGCAATGAAAGGGCTTGCTCCTTTGGTATCTGGCACCATGAAAGGGCTGCTGCTTTTGGTTGCTAATTTGCAGGCTATTCAGGAGTTGGAGACATTGGGTCCTAAAGAGAGACCCTGAGAGCCAAGCACATGCAGCCTTGAAATGGGGCTACCATGAGGGGCTTACACAGCATTTCCCAAGACTCTAAGGATTCTTCCTGAAAAAAATCTGGGGTGGGACGTGCTTGCCCCAGGGTGTCGTGGAGTGTGGAGGAGGGAGGAATTGATGCTGTGGGGGAGAAATTTGAGGAGGCCATTAATACATGGAACAGGCTGATGTCTGAAAAGCCCATAAGGCCATAAGGCAGCACATAAGGAGCATGGGACTGTGACAGAGACAGGAACAGGATTGAATCTAGTAGCATAACTGGGGTGGGGGGGTGTGACATGGGCACCAACCCCTTATGCTGATTTTGAGGCAATGCCAGAGTGGTAGCTTCTGTAACCCCTGCTACCACTGCCACCAGAAGCTCCTTGTTAGGCCTCTGACTGAATGAACTGGATCATCCAGCGCTTCAATTTGGTAGAAACCTAAGGCGGAGAAGCAGGAGGGCAGAGTGTCTCTCATTCCAACCTGTCTCTTTCATTCTCTGCAGGTTTATCACAAAAAAAGGCCGTGAAATTTGTTCTAACCCTGAAGACTCATGGGTTCAAATGTACATGAACAGCCTGGAACAGAACTGAATAGTGCAGGGACTGTGTGGGAACACCTCAGAGCCCCAGCATGGACTGGAACCTGAATGGGACACACAAAGAGAATAGTCTAATGACAGATTTCACTGAGTGCCTGTGACAGGCACAATGTAGGGCCTTGCTTCATGACTCTGCAATCAAAATTACTGCTATCCACCCACCTGAAAAAAAATGAGAAACTCTGGAATTTAGACACTGTTTAAAACTATTTAAGAAATGCAGCCAGTGCAAATGATATTTTTCTATTGCTGCTACTCTTATTTATGGGGCCTTTGTAGGCAGGTTGCCTGAGCCGACTCACTGTGACTGTCACATGCCTGTGGCTGTTAAACATATTTTGTACCAGACAGAGTGTTTGTGCTGTGAGTCTTATCAATGATCTGGGCTTGTTGACAATGTAGTGTGGAAAGATGATTTGGAGAATAAATATTTTATATAAAACTCCCTTGTTTTTTCCTTCATGTCAGCACTTGGAATATTTCCTGGGCCTGGGAACATAATATGTAACACACCATGTCCTTCCCCCCTTAACAGTCAAACAAGAAAAAAGGGTGGGAGTACAATTTGTTGGTCTGCCAAGGTTCATGCAAATTTATCTCATGCAGAACTCAGAGCCACCTCTGGCACACATGTACCTCTCCATCTATGTCATTCATCTTGTATGACCTACAAAGGGGGCACAACCTCAACTGCCCACCCACCTTTAACATACGTACATCTGACTCCCCAGGTACCTCTCCACTTTTACCTGCTACATCCCTCTCCTCCCCCAGCCTTTCTCTCACCCCCTGATACCTCAATTTACTTTTTCACTGACTGGCTTTCTTGCATGCATATCAGCCTCTGGCTTCTTTACTATTCATTCCATCCAGGAGAAGCACACACCAACTACAAATACTTCCTCAGCATAAAAAAATGGTTTTTAAACCCAAAAGCTTGCTAAGATATATTTTCCCGACTATTTAGTTGGTCTAATAAAAGGTGTTAGATTGACCCAAAGAACCTTGTCTGCCTTGTGTGTGTTAAGGCAGAGTGGGATGAATGCAGCAGGAATGGTAGCCTGTACAGGTAGCCTTTCCAGTGCTGGTTAGATCTCAGCCCACCCACCTGTTTCTGGGCCAAATGCCTGCTCCTCTTTTCCCTGCCATGCCTTGATGGAAAACTGATTTAGATGTTATCCAGGCGGGAGACTGCCCATTTAGGTCCCTGATATCTAGCAGTGACGTCCATTCTGCAGCTCCGTACCTTCTGTATACTGCGGCCTATGCCTCGCAGATTGCATCCTTCACCCCCGCCAGCTGTGGTCCCCTTTCTGGGACCTTTAGCTCCCCCATAGGCCCTGGTCCCACCTTCAGGCCAGTCAGAATTGTCTCTTGCTATGGGCATTCCTTGTGGTAGGCCCCTGCCCTTTGACCCCCCCCTTTTAGGTCATGGGCCCAGCACAGACCAGTTGAGGGTACCTCAGGTCAGATCTGAGCCACCTGCCTGTTCTCACCCTCACAACTCCAGAGTAACCAGTAAGCCTCAGGCCTCTCAAAGGTCTTACAGGCTTGGGCTTTCCCCAGCCAGGACTGTGTGTGCCCTTGCAGTGGCTGGAGGTTTTCAGGTGCCCTCTACCCACCTTTCACCAGGGAGGTTTGTGGTCCTGGCATTTCCTGGGGCTGCCACACCACTGGCAGTCCCACCAGGCCTCCCTACCCTGGCAGGGTGCAGTTTTAGGTCATGCCCAGGACCTGGGGCCTCCTCCTTCCCCATAGCCCCAGCTCATGCCTCCAAGTTCTTCCTGGCATGGGAGCTCAGCTCTTCAGGGACATGCTCTTCCCCTGCTGGCTGGTGATAAACTAAACTGCCATCTCCAGCTCTGAGAGTGGGGCATTAAATGGTTCTGAAAGAAAATTAAAAAAGCAAATAGGTGCAGAGTGAGGAGGGTGGCACTCACTCCATCTTCACGTGCAGCTTGGGGAACCCCAGCAGTGTGAGGTTCACCTTCAGGAACACCAGCTACTCCACCAAACCAGGATCCAAGAAGGCATGGTGGGTGTCACAACATTACCAGCTACGCTGAACACCCTTCAGGTAAGTGGGGCAGTGGGCAGGCACAGCTGCAGAGGATCCGGAAGGGGAGCCCCTTGGAGCCCTCTTAAATGAGCCAGCAGGGAGCCATGCTCCAGAGCCGTGTGTGTGGACAGAGAGCGCAAACAGGCATGCTCTGTAAGGGTGCACCTGTGTTTGCGCACGTGTACATGCAAGGCGAGAGCACAGAAGGAGACAAGAAGGAGCACCCAACAGGAGAGTGATGAGGACTCGTAACTCTTCAGCTAAGGTAAGGGCACGGGGTGCTGCTGCTGGGGACTCTGCCCCGATGATGCCGCCCACCCACGGCTCCTCAGAGGTCTCCACCCAGACAAAGCCCTGCCCCCCTCTCTGCAGGGGTGATCTGGCGGGGTTACTGCCATCGGGGTGGGGGGCTCACCTGTCCCTCATGTGTCCACCTTTGGGCCTTGGAGGAGCAGGTGAAGGAACTCCAGGAGGCGGCGAACAGGCTGAGGGGGATCAGGGAGGATGAGGCAGTGATTGACAGGTACTTCCATTCCTTACAGCTCCAGATGCCTATGGGTGAAACCCCATGAAAGGCATCTGCAGCAGAGGAGTGGAGAACTGTCACCTCTGGACCCAGGCGGCAAGATCTGGTGTCTGCTTCTCCATTGCATCTGGGGAACAGATATGGGGTCCTGGCAGCCTTGGTGGAGGAAAATTCTCCAGCAGAGGAGGATGAAGAGAAGGTGGTCCCTGCAAGCAGTGCTGGGCAGACTGGGGGACCATTGCCCAGGCAGAAGAAGAAACGCTGTTATTGTGGTGGGTGACTCAATCCCGAGAGGCACGGAGGGGCTGATCTGCCAACCAGATCCTATGGTGAGAGAGGTCTCCTGCATGCCTGGAGCAAAGATGAGCGACATCACTGCAAAGATTCCTGACCTCATCAAGCCTTCCGACTACTACCCCATGGTCCTTGTCCTTGTGGGACTAATTATGCAGCTGGGAGTAGTCCTGACCACATCATGAAGGACTTCCATGAGCTGGGGGTTGGGCTTAGAAAGTCAGGGGAACAGGTGGTATTCTTCTCCATCCTTCCAGTTGGCAGCAGCTGGAGGTGCCAGGTTGCCTGCATCAGGGTAGTCAACCAGCAGCTCCAGAGATGGTGTCTTCAGGAGGGCTTCGGATTCTACAACCAGAACCAGCACTTCCAGGAAGAAGGCTTCCTAGGATAGGATGGTCTTCATGTCTCTTCTAGAGGTAAGCATCTGTTTTCCCGCAGGTTGGATGATCTCCTCTGAAGAGCTTTAAACTAGGATTGACGGGAGACGGGGAACCAGTGGTCAATGAGAACCCAGGGTTGGAAAGCCACAAGGCCCAGACCTAACCAGGTAAGCACAAACCGTCAAGGCAAAGGGGCACCAAGAGCACCCATTGGGGGGCTAAAATGTCTTTACACAAATTCCAGGAGTATGGGAAATAAGCAGGAGATCACACTCCTACTTGCTAGCACACAGTCTGACCTAGTCGGCTGAACTGAAACATGGTGGGATTCTACGCATGACTGGGTGGTAGGCATTGAGGGCTATAGGTTGTACAGACGTGACAGAGTGGGAAAAAAAGGTGGGGGTGTAGCTGTCTATGTTAAGGAGCAGTACACATCTTCCATCATCAAGGCAGGAGTAGAGGAGGGGAATACCGAGGCATTGTGGGTCAGGATCCAGGGGGGGCCAGGGGAAAGGGACTTGGTAGTGGGGTTCTACTACAGATCTCCTCACCAGGATGACAAGCTAGATGATGTATTCTCCAGGCAGCTCTCAGATGCCACACAGGCGAGGGAGGCAGTGGTCATGGGGGATCTAAATTATCCAGACATCTTCTGGGAGGAACAGGAGGCCAACATAAGCTGCTCATGGAGGTTCTTACACTGCGTGCAGGACCTCCACCTGACCCAGGTGGTGTCCAGTCCCACCAGGGGCAGCGCCTTGCTAAACCTGGTCTTAGCTACAGGGGATGGTCTTGTGGGGAATCTGTGAGTACACAGTAACCTGGGAGATACTGACCATCTCTTGGCAGAGTTCACTATCCAGTGAAGGGTGAGAAAAATATCCAGTGAGGCTAAAGTGTTAGACTTCAGAAGGGCCAACTTTAGTAAATTTAGAAGCCTAGTTAGTGAGGTGACGGAACTCAAGAGCATCGAGCAAATGGGGGTCCAGGAGGGTTGGAGGTTTCTCAAGGGAGTGATCCTTGGGACACAAAAGGAGTCTACCCCCTTTCGCAGGAAAGGGGCTAAGGGGATGAAAAATCCCCCTTGGCTGAACAGGGAGCTCCAGGAAAGACTGGGGGCAAAGGAAGAGATTTATAGGCAGTGGAAGCAGGTGGCAGCCACCAAGGAGGCATACACCTCCCTGGCATGCTATGGCAGGGAGTCAGTTAGGCAGGCCAAGGCAGGACTGGAGCTTAGGCTGGCTTCAACAATTAAGGACAATAAAAAGTCCTTCTACAGATACATAGCAAGCAAAACGAAAGCACAGAGTAACATAGGGCCCCTGCAGGACAAAACTTATAGCCTTTTATGATCAGGTCACACACTGCCTAGACACAGGAGCTGAGGCTGATGTCATCTACCTGAATTTTAGGAAGGCCTTTACCAGTTTCGCATCCTATTCTCATAGGGAAGCTAACAGGCTGTGGAGTGGATGCTTACACAGTTAGGTGGGTGGCCAGCTGGCTTAGGGACAGCCTACTGCACTGTCAGTGTAGCTGTGATGGTCCAGAAATTATGTGAGAGGCAAGGATTTCTTAGGTTGATATCTTTTATTGGGGCAACTATGTAGTTGGGATAAAGCTAGACAAGCTGTTGAATGTAAGGTGTTCCCCTTGCAACACAACCTATTGTTTCTTTGTCATTTAGTTCTTTACTTGGCTTTCAGTTCTACTAATCCCATCTCCCCCCATTTAACTAACAGTTT